AAAAAGATAGAGAGAGAGGGAGGCGGGGGGCCTACCAGAGAGAGAGAGAGAGAGAGAGAGAGAGAGAGAGAGAGAGAGAGGCTGAATGGCAAACTTGAAATATGGGTTAAATTGTGGTCGCGATCTATTTCGCAGTTGGAATGATTTTTTAAAATTTATTTAGCGTTTTTCCTGGAAATATCACAGCGAAATCTACGAGTATTCCAATTTTCAGGGTTTTCACGCATTCTTCTGAGAGTGAAAACTCACTRAATTTGGAGTGCTTCTTAAGTTGGCCCACACATGGTTGAGTGGCAAAAATGAAAAATGTGCTTCATTGGCGCGATGATTATTTCTCGGCCTAAATAATTTTTAAAAAATATTCTAATATTTTTTCTAGAAAGAACACGACCTCGTTTATGGATTCTCAAAATTTTAGATTTTTCTGCGGGTTCCTCAGAGCACAGAAAATCGCCAAATGTGCCTCTTGCAAACGTATGTTTCGTTGCGTCTGACCTCCCTGTTTCGAGAAGACGGGCCTCAATGCCTGGGCCTGAGGGCCCTTACCCCACCCCCACTTCTTTTTGGGGTCCACTTCCACCCGAGGACCGGTCCTTCCTTTTTCCAAAAGCCCCGGTTCTACCAGAGCTAACTGTAGGTAGTCCGCAATTTTGGCAAGGACCGGTTCCCCAATTGTTTTTGCCCCCTAAGAACCCACTTTGGGTCCTGGTCGGGGGGCGGACTACCAGAGAAAAAGAGAGAGAGAGAGAGAGAGAGAGAGAGAGAGAGAGAGAGAGAGAGAGAGAGACTGAATGACAAAATTGAAATATGGGTCAAATTGCGGCCACGATCTATATTTGCAGTTGGAATTATTGTTTTAAATTTATTTAGCGTTTTTCCTGGAAAGATCACAACAAAATCTACCAGTACTTCAATTTTCAGGTTTTTTCACCCATTCTTTTTAGCATGAAAACTCACTGAATTTGGAGTATTTTTTTAGTTGGCTTAGGCATGGCTGAGTGTCAAAAATGAAAAATGTGCCGAATCGGCGCGACAATTATTTCGCAGCATAAATGATTTTTTTTAGATGTTCTATTATTATTTCTGGAAAGAACACGACCTCATCTATGGATTCTCAAAATTTTATATTTTTGTGCATATTCGTCCGAGCACAGAAAATCGGCAAAGTTACCTCTTGCAAAACGTCTATTTCGTTGTGCAAAACCTCCTTGTTTTGAGAAGACGGGGCTCAAAGCCTGGGCCTGAGGGCCCTTTTGTAGTTCACATGCCCTCACTTCTTTTTGGGGTCCGCTTCTACCCGGAGACCGGTCCAACGCCCCCCACTTCTTTTTGGGGTTCACTTTCACCCGAGGACCGGTCCTTTCATTTTTCAAAAGTCCCGGATCTCCCGCAGTCACTCTCTGTGTTGTCTTTGTCATTGTCGATTTTCAACATGCCTTCAATCTGGAGCTACTTTCATCATATCTTATGATTCTGTTCGTTGATTGATTTCGTCACCCTTGTTTCCAAATATGTTCATTCTGTGTTCGCGTTGTCTGATGTGATTTCAAGTTTTAGAGATTGGTGGTAGTATGTTTGAAAATATTTCAGACATTCCAACTCTTTCGTTTGATCTTCCTTACTTGCTATTATGATCATCATTATATCGTCCACAAAACTCATACCGTGGATAAGTTTCTCATCAATTTCAGTCTACGCACACCATCTGTACTCGTCGAACGCGCATACCATGTTGGCAATGGGTGGGCTAGAGCCCTTCCCCATTGGTATCCCCATTACTTGGCATAATAATGTTCCTTGTACTTTGAAGTTTGAAGTATGTGTGTTTGATGTCATAGTACAACAAATCCATTAGGCACTCAATTTTTAATATTCTCCATCCGTAGGTTCCGTTTGCTTTTTCAAAGTTCATGTACTTTTCTCTCATCTTGTAGCACAAGTGGGTTTTTCGTTTTTCTTTCGCCGTTTTCATCATCTATTGCATTACGTTTAAGATATGTGCGTGATCGAGATTCGAAAACATATCTTCGACGTCATATGTGGAGCAGATTATCGTAGCCATACCCCAGTATGTTACTTTTGTTACTTGATTGCATTTCTTCAGTCTAGATAGTAGTTGGCTCGTTCCTTTTAGTGATAAACCAACTTTCAATGCTTGCTACGTGAAGTTGATAGCTCTTGATAGTACCTTCGATGCTTTCCGAGATGACTCCTTATATGCCGACACAATTGGTCGGCGTTTGGTGACGTCCTTGTTTTTTGAAATTATATACGCATTTCCGTATGATCCCTGTTCATCTTATTCTGCGATTTTCTTCAGCCCACATCCATGATACGTATTTTTGGCCAATTGAGTGATCTCAAATTCCGTTTGTTGTATAATTTCGTAGTGATTCGATTCCGGAAAGAATTTTCGAGTCTTCTCGTACCAGATTAGGCCTTCCCCTCCCTCTCTCTCTATTTCTTTCTCTCTCTCACACTCATAACAATAAATGGAACAAAACTCTCTCTCTCTCTCTCTCTCTCTCTCTCTCTCTCTCTCTCTCTCTCTTGTGTTAGCTCTTAGTCTCATTGATTTGGCTACCTTAGGGTTGCGTTCCCTGCGCCCACGCGGTAGACAATTAGTGTTGGAATGTGTGGGATTCAGGCAATTTATATGGTATTGATGTATTAGATATTTGACATACCTTGATTCATAGTGGGCGTCGAGGCTGGTGGTCCTTGAATTTTTGTCCATATGTCGTATATGTGTGTGCTTGAGTGTTTGTTGTTGCAAGTCTTATTTTAAATTAAATAAAGGTTGTCGTGTCACATGTGACTCACTGAATAGGGCGCTGAACGTATGGGGCGTTGAATACGTCCATGTTCAGACACATCTGTTTGCACTTGCAAATGCAATGCAGGTGTGCCGTTTCAACCTGGGGCTAACTTTTCCACTTTTCCACCCTACCGCTGCTTTGCCACCGTTTCGACCAAAACCCAGCGCGTGGTCCCACGGCCAGCTACTGGTCTCGCATTTTTCAAAGAAACTGCCCCCCCCCCCCAAAGACCCACCCTGCCACCGCTTTGCCAGCGTTTCGACCAGAACCCAGCGGTCCCACAGGCAGCTACCAGTCCCGCATTTTTCAAAGAAACTGCCACCCCCCCCTAAAGTGTCGTGCCTGCACCTGCCTGCATTTTTTGAACCTTCCAACGACCTAAAGAGCCCAAATCAACCACCCAGTATAACGAAGGACGACGAAAATGTCTCGGGGGAAATGTCTCAGGGCCTCGTCAGGGCCTGGTCCCACCACTCGCCATCCGCCAACATTTTGATTTGATTGGATGTGGATATCATTTTGTCCAGATGCAGTCGAAATCTTGGCGGATGGCCAGTAGTGCAACTAGGGCCTCAGCGGGGGAAAACGCACCCCTGACGGGCTGCGAACACAACGCGGGAGAACGCAAATGACTTTGAGGGGCATAAGGGAAACTTCGGTCCCAAACGCGCGCAGTGATTCTCCCTCCCAAAATGCACTGGGAACCCCGACAACGCTCAGAGTTTTGAAATCACTTACATATCCCGTCCCTGTGATCGGAGCGTGGACCCGTTCGTTTTTTTCCGCGAGTGCATCTTCAGATGAGGACAGGGGCGCCGTCCTTCCCTGAATAGTGAAAAAAGCGCGGGTATCTCAAGGTCAGGGTCAGGAATGCATGGGGCTCAACGTTCGCTTTGTCGGGAGCAATCAACTTTCATCCCTGCGATTCGATCATCTTTGGGCTGGCATATCACTCACTAGAAGCCAAGGCGGAGCTGGCCCCCGATAGTCTGAACGAGAGGATCGACGAAAGAGAATTCGACGTCAGAGCTCGTGCTCGGTCCCATCGGCTGGCGGCCGAATCCGCCGCGCCCGTTAGCGAGGGGTAGGCCGAGAGATTTTACCGTTGGAGAATGCCCGTTGTTTTTTTCGCCCCGCGGTCGAGTCCAGGGCGGTCAAGGGCGGGGTTTCCCGGGCGGAGCGGCCAGGGCCTTGGGTTGTCAGATGCGTAAGCGCCGCACGGTGAGGAGGTGGAAGGTCCGCGCGGCGGGTTGCGTCGAAGCGGGGCCAGGGCAGGCAGGGCGGGCCAGGGCGGCTCCCTTTCGTCTCTCTCCCGCTTTGTGTGTGTTTATCCGCCACGCGCTGGAACTCGAACATCCGTTGGGCGGCCCGTTCACTTCCTGACTGTCGGCCTGCCGGCCTGCTTGCCCGCCTGCTCGCCCGCTCGCCCTCTCGGTCACTCCCTTTCCGTCGCTTGCTCGGTTGTCTGCTTGATTCTGGCAGCAGCACATTTTGCGCCGTGCAAACTCATCCATATCGGCGATGCACTCCTTTTTATACTGTCCTGCGCGGCGATGTATGCAATATGCAAGAGCGCTGATCTAGCGCCCAGCAAGTTCATAGCTTGTCTCCTCTTTTCTCGGTCGTCGGTTGTTGTGGTTTCTCTTGGCGTGTCTGAGAGATTTATTTCGTTGTGTGTGAGCAGAGATCAGAAAACGTCTATTTATCGCGAAGGATTTTTTCAACGCTGAGGTGGTGGAAAGTGAAAGTGAAGGAGGAGAAAAAGAAGTTTGAAAGCGGAAAGTGTAATTGGCAAGTGTGATACCGAGAACATTAGGTCTTTCAGGTGCTTTGAGGGTTACGCAGTCCATCAGGCAGTGTACATCGCAAATAAGAGCGGCGTTCCAGCGCCCACCGATCTTGCCGTTGGTCTACTTCACGCGTGCAAAATTGCTGTGTATTGCCCTCTCTGCCAGGGTCTTTCTTTTGCCATATCCTGATCTCTCACCTGAAGGACAACGGGAGATCAACGTAGTCTGACTGCCTTGGGTTTATAAACGAGAGAGAGAGAGAGAGAGAGAGAGAGAGAGAGAGAGAGAGAGAGAGAGAGAGAGAGAGAGAGAGAGAGAGAGAGAGAGAGAGAGAGATTTGTCGGGGAGCTCAGGGTTATCGGGGTGGTCTTCATTCGCCAAGGCAGTATGTGGAGCCTGAACGACAACTTCCTGGCCCCTTTTGGGCAGATCGGACAGATGGGGCACATCGGACAGATGAGCCAGATGGCACAGCTTGGGCAGAGGATGGTGAAGTCAGCTCCCTGCTCCCCGGTGAAGACATCAGGTCCTAAGAAGCTTCCCGTCAGAGCTGATTCTTTCCACGTTGTTCACAAGGTTCCTGTGGGCGATACTCCATACGTTCGGGCAAAGCATGTGCAGGTATGTTCGATAGATGATGATCGTGGTGATGACGACTATGCTTATGGCGGAGTTGATGATGATGGCGACGCTTTTAGTTGATGGTGAAAACGGTGGCGCTTTTACTCCATTTCATTGCTTGCCTTTAAGTTTGTGATGTCCTTCCTTTATTTGAACGCTCGAGCTCTAATCAACTAGCGGGGGAATGTGGGTTTTGCCGGCGGGATGTACACTTGCATCTGGAGCTAGTGGTGGTGGATTGATTATTTGGCTTCGTGTTATGGCGCGCCCCCTTGCGTGCGTGAAGTCGGTTATCATGCTCGTTATCGCGGGTCAATGCATTCTGTGAATCCGCTACGAGGATCAATGAATCTATTGTGAAGGGTACTAATTACTCGTGTCGAGCACTATGGAGGCGGAGGTTGACCTTAAGAGGTGTAGGGCGCTCTGGTAATCACCCGACCATCCACTAAAGACTCCATCTATGCTGGGAAGAGCTAATACCGTCTGACTTTTGCCTAGGCTCAAAGTTTCGCTCCTGTCCATCCTGGTCTCCCTCTGTAATTGACCTTTGATAGCAAAGCGCTTTACGGGGTATGAGACTGGTAATCGCATATACGCTGGTTATCGGGCAATCAGAACCGGTGTGTGCAAATACGTTCTCATTCAGTCAAACTTGACGATGAACGCGGTTTATCGGGTCTGTTGCTCGGGTTGTGGTGTGGAATTGTACTAGACACTTGGCGAGACTATGGTCCGAGTTGTGGTGTGGAATTGTACTAGACACTTAGCAAGACTATGGTCCGAATAGCGGACCAGATACGCGTTGAAAAGTACATGTCTTGTTTTCCCTCACGTAGGAAACTTGTCTTAGCCGTAATAAAGCGCATCTGTTAAACCTCCGTTTCGCTCTCACGAACCTAAATTCTCGATCTGAAGTGTTCTGACGTGATCTTACTTCGGAAGACGCGGCTGATGGTCTTTGTATATGAGGTGTTGTGTGATATTGTGCCACCGTTACTTATTCCCAATTCGTATGTCAGCGGTGTGTCTGTCGCCATCAGGAGGATGATTATCTTGATGTTGCGCTTTGATCTGAGGCAATCTGACGCTTGACCTTACTTGTGATTCGCGTTTGTCGTCTAATAATCAGCTTGTCGATAAGGATCCAGAGCGAGCCATCGCGTTATTTTGGGCGGCGATCAATGCTGGTGATAGAGTCGACAGTGCCCTGAAAGACATGGCGATCGTTATGAAACAGCAAAATCGAGCAGAAGAAGCAATCGAGGCCATCAAGTCTCTCCGAAACCGCTGCAGCGATCAAGCACAGGAATCTCTAGATAATGTGCTCCTTGATCTGTACAAGGTATTGGCGAGATCGCGTTCAGACACTCTTTGCAGTCCGTCTCCCTTCAGTTACCTGTCTTGCAGTTTCCTTTGAATGTTTATGACGTGAAAACTTGCGTTTGCATCAACAGTTACACATTGGGATCACTTTGCGTTTTCCCAAAGTGATCTGATATTTGTGGGCGAATCAACCCTTACACATTGGGATCTCTCTCTGCACGCAGACGCTGATCGCCCTCTTCGATCGCTCTGCTTCAATGACACAACTGTGGAAGTTAGATTATTACGACATAGAAGGCTTGGCTATACTCGAATGCATTTGATTGACGAACGATTGACCTTACGTCTCGTGTCGATGGCGAAGCACTGATTAATTGTTTCTTTGTTTGCGTCTTAGGCGAGGTTCTTGTTGAAAATTGTTGCCTTAGCATTGCTGTTTTACTGAGGTTGCTGTTTACGTGTACGTCCTTGGGAAAGACATTAGGTGCAGGGTGATTGCATTCAACCGAACATTAGGTACATTTGGGTGTGATTTTGATCTTTGGGGGGCGTTTGAACGTGATCAAATGAGGTGGTAACCATGGTGGCGGTTATAAACTGCGGCGAGGGAGTTTATTATGCCGAAGATGACAGGAAGATAGGAATGGTGCTGTGCTGGAATGATATCCATCCTGTTATTGGGTTTGTACCTGGAAGTCTTGACCGTCTGGTCACGATCGGAGCTAGTCCCTGATATTAATGGCGCTTATTATCGGGCCTTACTTACCTGAAATTAACCGATGTTGAGGGCCGAGGCGAATGACAACGGTGCAAGGGAGGATGACGTTGATGCATGTTGCGTTGTGTTTCGGCTGCGATATGTGATTAAAGTTCAAGGATCGTTGTACTCCGTTCTTGTAAGGGGAATGGAATTGGTTATGGTGATCTCTCTTTTCTTGATGGCGATTTGATTAGGTTTTTCTTCTCAGGACGAGGATCGGAATCGTGATGTGCTAGCAGGCCACCGAAATTAGGGCCAGGATATTAGTATGGTTGTATTTGGTTTTCCTAGATGATATCCGTTGCGTCGAAACGTGGCGTCGGAACGATGCTATATGGCAATTAAGATCCCTTCCAGTTGGTGTTGCTTTGCCAAGATTAGATGATGATCACGCTGAACGATTTTCCCTGTTCTACCGGCCTACTATGTTTTTTTTCTGCAGAGATGCGGGAGACTGGATGATCAGATTGCGCTTTTGAAGCACAAGCTGAACATGATTCATCAGGGGATGGCTTTCAATGGCAAAAGAACAAAGACTGCGCGAAGCCAGGGCAAGAAATTCCAAGTTTCGATCGAGCAGGAGGCGACAAGGCTTCTGGTAATCTTACGCACATGTCACTTTCGCTTGCCACATTCTTCCCTATGGGGTTTTCGTCATCTGTCGCCTATCGTCCCTCGTTTGTGTTTGCACTCTTCTACTCCGTTTCTTGTCGGGGTGTCTTGGTCCTTGCCGAACCTGCGCCTCTGTTGTGGAGCGAATTTCACCCGTGTACTTCCTAACGTTTTCCTGTAATGACGAGACTGTTCCGCTTTTTCTTAACATTGTCCAAACTGTGAGGAGTTCGATGCGTGTCGGGATGTTCTCAAGGATTAGACCACTCCCTATGCGCGTCAGAATGTTCTGGAGGACTTCTCCACTGAGTTGCTTGTTGGACGTTGGTTGATCTGACGCGCATTGTCGTCCTCGCTGACTGGCGTGTTATGAATGGGATTATGTCTCGACGTGGCCTGACACGGGTCTAGCACGGCGATCTTTACCTAGGACCCGTATGGGTGCAATCTTGGTGTTATCCGAATACTTTACGTCTGTTCTCGGCATCTCATTTTTCCCTCCGTGCTCTCCGTGATGGTATGGATCTGTTTGTGGAAATGAAGTCGTCGTCATTTTGAATCTTTCTTCTATCCTCATGTACTTGTGGCACCTGCGCTGAACGAACATTCTAGTCAGTTGGATAACCTGATGCACGGGGAGTAAAACGAGAGGTTCTGTGGCTTACAGTGTCGTGCATCACTGTCTTGATTGGCAGGGTAACCTTGGGTGGGCGTACATGCAACAGCAGAATTATATCGCTGCCGAAGCCGTGTACCGGTAAGTGTCGCTTTTTCGCGAGTCTCATCTATTCTTGAAGGATTGTGCCACTCAAATTGGACACCTGTTGCCTGTCGTTTACAACCTAAGTCTCCGCTCTGTACTCCCCGAGTTCCACTTCTTATCAACTACCATGTCAGTGATTTTCAGCGAACTTTATTAGCCGCTAGCGGCACTGTTCATGCTAAAACGATACCTGGAATCGGTAGCTTGCCAGTGTATGTTTAAAGCTTCAAAAGCGCTATTCCGGTGAACTATACGGCAGGCCATAAAGCGTACAGTTTCGTGGGCACTGTTCAGTCATGCTAAAACGGTAGCGGGAATTGGTAGCCTGCCAGTGAATGTTTAGTGCTCGACAAGCGCTATTCCGGTGAACAACTGTGCGGCAGCAGGCCGTAAAGCGTACTATTCTTCGGCAATGTGGTTTGCCGATTGTATATGCACGATCGGGGTACTCCCAACAGATTGTACTCTGAAGGTTTCAAAACCGTTCGGCAACGTTCTCAACGATCTGCTTTCGGTCACTCTTGCCATGCGTGTGCACCATCTCTGTTGTTGCTTCGGCGGCTAATCACACTCGGTTTATCGAAATGTTCACCGATGCTATCCGTGGATAGACAATGACCGTGCAGTCGGATATTCATGTCGAATACCATATAGCATGAACCGCCGAAGCGCTGGTGCCGTTGAACGTTGAATGCGGCACCTGTTTCTTAGCAGACAGATTGTACTCTTGAAAGAATCTTGTGGTCGTAGGCTTTAGTTGCTGTCTCCACCAGTGAAATGTAGCGAGCGTGTTTGACTTGCAGTAGGATGGAGTGCAATGGCCAGATCAGAATGGAGTCAAGTGCATGGAGATCTCTATAGCATTCGCTTATGGAGAAAGTCGTATGGACTTTGGTAGGGGTGTTAAATACGTATTTTTGTAGTTTTACTACGAAGGGTAAATGTGCCACGTGCTTGGGACGATTCAATGGCATTTGCTTTTTCTTGTCTGAGAGGTCTTAAATACGTATTTGTAGGGTTTTACAGAAGGTGAATGTGGCACGTGCCTGGGACGATTCTATGGCATTTGCTTTTTCTTGTCTGAGAAAGGCAAGGAAATTTTGAATCCGTAGGAAATGTCACGTTGTTTTTCTGTATGTGGTTTTGGTAATATATTTGTATTGTGTGGTGCCTTGAGCAATACCTAAGAGGGTTTCAGGCGTACGAGATCAACCGTTATCTCTTGCGAATGGTGAATGTGGGCTAACTGTCATCATTTGTTTCTTGTTCGGTGTTTGCAGGAAAGCGTTGAGCATTGAGCCAGACAACAACAAGGTGTGCAACTTAGGCATATGTCTGATGAAGCAGGGGCGATTCGAGGAGGCCAAAGCGATGCTCCGCAGCGTTACGCAGTCGGGAGAGGGTAGGTGGGGTAGCGAGAGCCACCTCAAGAGCTACGAGCGCGCACAGGAAATGCTGCGAGAGCTTGAAGGGCCTACACCCGCGAGCGCCTCGTTGATCGGTCTGGCCGGTTGCAGTGGCATGTTGAGCGCCGGTTCTAACGCTGAGGAATCTCCAGACGAGAGTCTCACCGGGCCATCCTCCGACCAGGACTGTGAGCAGTTCGACCAGCAGCAGCAACCGCAGCAGCAGCCCGCTTTAACGCACGAGAGCTCCAAACTGGCATCCACCGAATCGACTCAGTCCACTGTGTCGACTGTGGAGACGACGTCGGCTTCTGCATCGACTGGAGAATGCTCGACATCATCGACGTTGACGGTCACGAGTGCGTCGGCGAGTTCCAGCGGATCTTCCTTCGTTTCCTCGTCTGCCACTGTAGGGGCGGATAAAATGCCTAGTACGCCCACGTGGCAGGCACAGGGTGTCCTCCCTCGTCAGAGCAAACGTAACCTGATGCTGTCGTTTGCTGAGCAGCCCCCTGCCCATCTTGCGCGGCAGAGCAGTGCACCGTCTCCACTGGGACTGCACATGTACCAGTCCCAAGCTGGATGCGACGGACAGGACGAGCCGGATCTTCATGAGCAGGTCGAGAAGCAGACAAATGTCGCTGTCGCCAAGTTGTTGTCCGGATCGGCCGTGGCGTCAGAAGTGCAGCAGACGGCGATGACGGCGCAGTGTTCCGCACAGCTGCTTTCCATGGAACAGCTGGTGAACAACAGTGGACTTGTTAAGGCGCATTCTCTGCCGGCGTTGAACGTGTGTCATCGCGGATTGCAGTTTTCAGAGGTGGTGAGGAAGCAGCAACATCAACAGCAACAAAAGCAACAAGCCAGGTTAATGTCGCAGAGTCTGAACGCGCGTCTCGCTGAGGCCATCTCTCAGCAGCAAAGAGACAGATGGGAGGACTACGGGATGGAGGAAGGAATTATGTCTCCCCTTGTGCTCGGGGAAGGGCACGACGGCCTCCCTTTCTCTCAACACCAACTTCAGCAGCAGCAACAGCAGCAGCAGCAGCAGCAGCAAGCGGCGTTAAATCCATTCTTGATCGGGAATATGCCCCTTGCTCAGTCCATTCAGTGGCATGCGATGACACTGCGTCAGAAGCTTGAAATGCTTCAGGAGGAGCAGCAGCAGCAGCAGCAACAACAGCAGCAGCAGCAGGCAATTGGTTCGCAATGGCTAATGGACCAGCAGAAGCAATCGCAGCTGCCTGGCAGTGTTGGCGGGGGTGTTCTTTTCCTATCTGAAGCCCTTCGGCAACAAAAGCAATTCCAGCAGGCACCGTCTCAGCCTCAGCATCACCATCAACCGCTGATGTCCGGCAGCGGTTCTTTGTCTTCCTCTACGTCTTCTCGCTCCTCGCTTCTCCGATCAATTTCTCCTTCCAATGCTCCTTCGCGGGTCATGTCAGGCCAGCGATCGACGAACTTGTCCAAGAGCTCCGCTACCTCGCCAAGGGAGCCTCTCGCTGAGGCGTGTCTGAATGGGTCGCTATGCACTTCTACTCGCCCGCCGGTCGGAGCTAACAGGCCGAAGCCTCCGACGTCGTCTACCGGTGACAAGGTTCTGGGTGAGAGGATGCCACTGACGTCTGATCGCACGAATCTAAAGGCGGCACCATCAGGGCAACTACGTAGCTCCCGCTTTGCGTCTTCTGGAACCAAGGACTCAGAGCCTGGTCATGCAGTCCAGCTACGTAGCTCTCGCTTCGCATCCTCCGCAGGAAACGACTCCGATAATGGTCATATGTCCGCCCTTGAGTGGATGCGTGTGCGTGCCGGCAATGGCAGTAGCAACAACAAAGGATGGGGGGCTACGGGGCCGGGCGTCTTATCATTCTTCGCCTCCGTACCAGTTGACGAGTCCGACCTGTGGGGAGGCAAGGGCGGACAGCAGCAGCAGCAGCAGCAGGTCTTTCATCATAATGAGAACAGCAATCCCAACACTGGGAATTCCGCGGGCGGGTTTGGAGGTTATGAACCGGCTTCAGTTCAACGAAGGATGAACGGTGGCATTTTGCGAGCAACCGGTAGCGATAACCAGAAACAACATAGTTTGGCCCAACAGCAGCAACAGACTGCTTCTTCGAACGCTCGGAAGTTGCAGCAGTCACAGCTGATGTCCTGGAATTCGCTAGGGTTAGGCGGCGTGGACTGCGCGGGCGTGGATGCCGTGGATGGTGTGGTGGGAAGCGTCCTCTGCGCGGCGATGGGATCTGAGGCGGGTTGTGAGGCCGTCGCCAGGGAGGTTGCTGCTGCCGTCAGCTGTGCGGCCAAGGACGAAACTGCAACGCTCTCCATGGCCGTGGCCGTGGCCGATCTGGAGATGAAACTTCAGCGAAGACTCCGAGTTTTCCAGGAGATGACATTGAATGGCCAGGCGTAGTTTGCAAGGTTGAACTGTGTTCGGCAAGGGGTTGGGCTCGCCTGGTCCTTGCTTCCTTCGTCCTCACGGAGAAGAATATTCGTGTGTGCGTCTCTGTATGAGATATGGATGTGTGTGTGTGTGCGTGTGTGTGTGTGTGTGTGTGTGTGTGTGTGTGTGTGTGTGTGTGTGTGTGTGTGTGTTGGTGTNGTGTGTGTGTGTGTGTGTGTGTGTGTGTGTTGGTGTTTGTGTATGTGTGTATGTATGGGAGATGCGTCGCGCTAACGTATCAGTTCGCAACTGTAGCGGACATTACATTTATATCTTGTTACTTTACGTCTCGTTCTGGCCCGTCCGAAAAGAATTGACCAGATTGGTCATTCAGTTGCATTCGTACCCGATACGGTGAGAACGAGCCTGTCTACATCCAGGCTCTGGATGAAGCCTTAAATTAAATCTCCAGTTTCAAGTACCACTGCTCTGTCCGAGTATCCACAGTTTTGGTCGATGAGTGCTCGGACACACTCAGTGGCTCGTCGGCTGCGAACCATCGAGTGATACTTGCCGCGGTCGTTTTCAGTCTCTGACTGGCAGTGTTCCTAACCCCTTCTCGCTGGTTGTTGTCGGGTACAAGTACTGACCCCGCTCGGAGTTCCGTGACGTACTTGACGTGGTATGGCGAAAAAGCTCGCCGATTTCGTCCCTCGTTCCATTGCTTTCGATAGTGCGGTACGGTGTGAATTTTCTCCCGAGCCGGTGTTGAGAGCGGTTGTGTAACGCGCTTTCAACCCCATGCTAATGTCTCCAGTCGCTGTCGACCACTCCTGATTCCATGCGATTCATTTGATTGTCGTATTCTTGTAGAAGTCTGCAGGTTGTTTTCTGATCTCACCTTGCGGGCGGAGCGAGATCGTGTTTAGTGCGACGAGGAAATCTGTTCACACGGGTCGTCTTTCTTGAATGGCGGATTGGAAACCCGTCGGGCTCCAATCCGGTGTCAGAAGTGTCTGGTTGGCTGATGAGACCCGGCGAGCAACCAAGGACAGCTGTGAACATGAATAATTTCCCGGTGTATTGCCGCACAGTAGATTTGGCAGCATGCAGGCCTGGACAGTTGTGACCTCCTTTGGAGAGTCTTGATCAAAAGCTGGACTAACTGCTGGCTGCAGATTTTAGTCGACTCCTGATAGCTCGGTGTTTCCTCATCCGATCAGAAGCGTGGAAGGAGAGGACGCTCTTCGTTTGGTTCCCGACTGCATCTGAAGAACAGCCATGGTGTTCGAGGGACTACTGCGCCCGAGCCTGGTCGAGCGATGCAGGTAGGTAGGTGTCTTTGTACTTGATATGTGGTGAAGCTGCACCCTTATGTAATTTCGTCTGGCACGCGTTCTTAGTACGAGGGAGCTGAATTGCCACCTCGGTCAGCCTTCATTCAGAAAAGTTCTTGTGCCTGCTATTTATAATGTCATTGACGAATGGCGTTGATCGCCCTTTCTATCTGCGACACCTTAAGGTGATGATGATGTACTCGATGGAATAGTAGAACGCTCTATCACCCATCTTTACTGTGTCTTTAGTGGGGGAGTAATCGTGAATGCGGTTTGGCATTTGTGCGCATCTGATCCCATTAGAGCAGTGGGAAATCGGTCCGTATGCGGATCGCCGTGATCTGTACATTGGAGACGGTGTCCTCGGACTACTGGGTCTGCAGGTGTGCTCAACTTGCAATCTGAGTTTGTAAACGAATTGCTGCTCGCTCAGTGGCTCGAGGGATCGTGTATAGCCATCGCCTGATTTCCTCTCCCTGACGTCTGGAAGCAATCAATCACCGTCTCAGGACTGGAAGATCATGGGCTTTACGTCTCCGGCTTTGAGTGTGCTCTACTCGTGACAACGGCGTTAATGCGGAATTCATGATCCATATTTCCTAAGCTCTTGTTGTCTGCTGGGATTGGCCCAGCCAAATATATCGGCGAAGAGCCATTTCCTTGCGGAATGCGCCCTCGGTACTGTGTGATTGTGTTTGTAGCCGTCCTGTCCAGGGAAGCGCTATCTTGCGAAGTAGCCGCGAGTGGTCATGTGAGCATTTGCTTGCTTCAAGGCTGGTGGCTTGTACGCCGTGATTGAGGAGCTGCCACCCACATCTTATTTTTCGGTGTCGTGATGCTTACTTAACGTGAAAGTGTGCTACTGTCGGTCGCATGGCCGGACAGATCTCCGTTCACATCTTACACGGATTAATGTGGGGAAAAAATGAATTGTGTGATCGATCTAGAGTCAGACCGACAACTCGTAGGACTGACTTCATGAACACTGAAGGAGAGAGGAGCCTTTCTTTCAGCTCGTCGACGTTCACGTGCTTCGGCATTTCGCTCGCTGACAACGGCCTTCCGCTATGTTTTTAGTTGAACTAGGTGTGCAACGAGCTTGGATGCAATGTTTTTGTGCTCACAATGGATGTGTACATTACGTCGCCGCAGATTTGCTGGCCCGTGTGATGTGAAACACAAGACAAGTAAAGTGTGCGACTAACAAACGACATTTCTGATCGTCGCAGAGAGAGAGAGAGAGAGAGAGAGAGAGAGAGAGAGAGAGATTGTGATGGCGGGAGAGGAGGCAGTTCTGAACGGGGGGGATGAGCACGACGTTGCTGTGTGCTGACTTCGTGTGATGACCTCTGTGTGCTTAAAGGCCGCTTAAAAGCTGCGACTTTCTCAGTCGCTATGGCCGGGGTTGTCGGAATCGCGGAGTGATTGTTCCGGAAGTGGTTGTTGTGGACAACGAACCTCTAGCTCAGCAGGTTTGGTTTGCGCGGCGTACCAGCTGGTGGTGATATTCATCGACGTATCGATTGATGCGCAGTTTTACAGGTCCCATCACCGGTTGCCGAAGTCCGACGTCACGATCATCTGATTTCTGGAGGGCATGGTTACTATTGTGCATGGACGAATCTTCTCTATTTTATTGGTTGGGTCATTTGTGTAAACGGACGGTCGAGTGTCCAATTTCTCGCTGTCGAAGGGTGGCCGATGTCTTAGCCAATTATGTAACACCGTTCCACTTCCGGTATCGAGGGAGGGTAGTTCCGTAGTGGTTGGGTGAATAATTATATAAATTTCATTCGAACGTGTGATTGGTTAGTTGTATGTAGTACTAATGTGGTTACATGGCGTTGAGAGGCTCAGCAACAGCGTCGTCGATTTACAGGCTATCGCAAGTCGTTATTCCCACTGTAACCAGAACGCATCTTCCCTCCGCTTGTTCCATATCTATTGCCTTGATCTGTCGATAATTTTGAGATTCGAATGCCGTTTTTCGTCTTTGTCCGCATGATCCGCAGTGGACATTTGTCTCAACGGAGTATGAGAGGTTTCACTATGGCAAATGTGGCATCGGGTTTCACTCTGACAAATGTGGCGTCGAGAGACCCTGTCACGTCTCAGCTCTTGCCGGCTTGTCGGCTGTAAGTGCTCTTTGTTTTGGTGCTATTGGATTTCACGGTCAAGGGAACGCGAAGTACAGATGCTAGTCTATTGTCAATCCTTTTTCCTAAGCGGATGAGACAGTATATTATGAGACATTATCGCTTCGTTTTCGTAATCTGCCTGTGTTTTGGGTGACGGTTCTTTATACTCGTCCAATTTCGAAGCAGAGTTTGTGTCGTGTCGAGCCGATGATTAATTATTTATTGGGGAGAGGCGAGCGCTGAGGCGGACGCTGGCATTCTTGCCTGCGGCTAAATGCGCTATGATCCTCTGACATGGATCGTACGGCGCTACATGAATGGCAATTGGCATATACTGGAATCGCAGCGGAGTCGCAACCGTGTGAAGGACTATGGCGTCAATGTCGAACGGCCCCGCAGAGCTTGGGTATGTGGCTGTTCGCCATTTGAGAACCTCCTTCGTTGTTGTTGTCTTCGTTCTTCAGCTCTCATCAGGTTCAAGATCCGGAGTGAATGGTCCGGCGCGTTGTCGAAAAGTAGAGAAGCTGGACAAGGGGAGAGTCGCTGATAAGCAAAGATTCTCGGAATAGTATAGTTGCTTACATGGAAGAGAAGTGGTAGAATGTAGTAGTGTGAGAAGCTCCTAGGATGTCATCCCTGCAAATGCGTGATGGCGAGGGAGAGGTGCTCAAGAAGCGATGGAGGTCGGTGCACCGTCGGTGCGGGTGAGGTTGCTGCTGGACGTCCGCTGGAAGAAGTGGCAGTCCGTATGTGCAGGTGGCCTCAGTGTGTAAGCTCATTTCTCTTCCCCAACGTAATTTGTGAGCAATGGTCGAAATTCCTCCCGCTCTGTAGAGCGTCGATAGCCGAACCGTTCAAGACTTGAGAGTTGCAGATTTGCACTGTTATCCGGAACTGCACATGTTGAGAACTGTATATTACTTACGCATAATTGTCAATGTATCGCGGTTGCTCGTTCCCTTCCTCGTTTCCATCTCCTCTCCTCTCTCTCTCTCTCTCAGTCGGTGAAATTCCGACGAAACAGTTTGTCACAGCCCCCTACGTGTTTGTTGTCCTCTTCTCCCTCCCTCCCTCTCTGCCTACGGTTTACTGGGCAGTTCTGTTTGACGATATATACATGTATGTACATATATATATTCTATTTGACGATATATATATATATATTTATCTATCTATCTATCTCTGCCGTACACAGCCACGATGGCTTGTCTCTTTGTTTCCTGTGGAGTCGTAAAAAAAGGCTTGCTTTTGTTTTGCTCGTCTCGATTCAGGCTGTTGTGTCAAATTTTCTTGTTTCTTAGGAATTGCGTAAGCGCTCTCGCTTTGTTTGTCGAAATACCGAGGGGTCTTGGGTGGCTAGGATTGCCTTCTTATGTAATGTCGAGGACGAAAAGGCTATCTCGCGTCTGTGTGGTGGGGGTGGAGTGGCGGGGTGGATGTGGGGAAATATCTCTGTTTGATTTCCTCACTCGGACAGCCAAGCACGTTTCTTGCCTCCAGCAATTAGCCTCTACTTCGAGCAAATGTCGAGGAATATGTAACGGAGTCGAGTAGGTACAACAATCATTTTGGAAAACCTTCACATTGTGCGCCCTCCACCCGGTCCACCAACTGGTGTGGTATTGTTTGTTGGTAAGGACATCTCCAGAACAGATTCGTGCGCGATGAACGGAGCACCGGTGGTGGGCCTTGGTCGTAAACTCGACCATGGACCGATGTATTGAGAGTGGTCTCGTGAGTCGGCCACAATGAATGTGCGCGTGCGCGACTAGGTCACCAAGCAAGTCGTTGCTTGCCATATATATTCAATGTGTATTACAAGGAATAGCCTTCTCACAGTCTAGAGTGGATAAATTAGCCCACGATCCACGTAGACGCGTTTCCGTATAGACTTCACTGGGCCGGTTTTGCACTTCCGAACGTCAAAAGGACCGTTTCGGTCGCTCTTTTTTCGTGTTCTTTTCCTGTTTTATCACCCTGATTAGGAGGCAAGAATCGACCGTGAAAAACGGGCTGTTATGGGATCCTAGCGCCAAAACTGACCTTTGAGCTGAGGGTGCTTTTGCTCTTGCCCGTGCAACCATCGCCTTTAGCATGGGCCCGGCGCGCTTGTGAAAGTGGTCCAAAAAAAAAAGCGCCGATGAAGGCGAGTTAAACTGCTGAGGAGAGCATGGCAGCCTCCCGGGGCCCGAAAGTCGCTACTTCAACACGCCTTCTGGCGATATGGAGGCCCTCAGTCCTCGCAGGTCTTCTGGCGATATTGAGGTCCTCAGTCCTAGTTCGATGGATTTTTGACTTGATTCCGGAATTTCGAAAAAGTCACTCGAAATAGCAATAATGGTGATCATTCATTGACAAAGCACACCAGAGTGGAGCAACGAGGATGATAGACAAGCGGGAGAGAAGAAGATTAGACAGTACACTAGATTCCTGAACGCGACCAAAACGGGAAAGGTAGTCATTAAAGTACACACATTGACCCGGGGGTGTCAGCACGAAACCCGCACCACCACTTCGGATGCCGACGACTTTTTTTTCCAACGGCGCCCCCCACGCCGCGCGGCCGCTCCGAGTTTTGCTTGTGGCGGCGGAAAACTTTCCGCAAGGCTGGGTCGGTGTACTTGTTTAAAGCCGTAAAGAGCTCTGCCACAAGAATAACGTGATAACCAGGCTTAGAATGGCGCAGCGACTGTTTGCTGTGTTTCATCCGGCCGCTAGCCGGAATCATCAGGGGACTTACTACTCCGGAATCATCAGGGGTCTTAGTACTCTTCAGCGTCGCGGGAAAGAGTGACCAACGAAGAAGACTATTGAAAATGATATACTCACAGGAGCAAAAACGAAAACCCTTAGCAGGGTATATAGACGAGATAGAGAAAAGGAAGAACTCAAACGGAGAGAACGTCAGATGCCGAGACCAGGTTGCATCGACAGTTTCAAGAGAGCAGGGAAAAACGAAAAAGAAGAAAAGAAGAACGTAGGCAGATTTAGGAGTGTATCGTACCCAAACAGAAAAAGTGTCAGATGCGGCGACCACTAAGGCTTACAGAAACCTCTTGCGACACCTTTTTGTCCCAGCTTCTTAGTGTTAAGACTGCCACGCGTCTGCAAAACTTTAAAGCTTCAGTACATAACAAGAAAATCCGAAAACTATCAGAGAAAAGGTGAAACTACATAAAAAAGAAAGGGCACTGTCCTACTGTAGGCCCCCACGTATCAAGGTGCTATCATCTTGCACCCGAAGTACACCCCGGCCAGCGCCATAGACTACACCAATCACTACAGACCGGGATATGCCCCTTCGGTCGTCCAGACCTCTTTTTCAAACCACTGGCCACGAAAAGCTAACCCCACCCAGTCAAGCAGTCCATCAATTCTGCCCAGATTCCGGAAAACTTGTTGGAGAAGTTTTGCAGGGCATTATCAAAATACTCGTCCGGGAGACGGTGCTTTCGCAGCTCAATTTTGAGGGTCAACAGAGAGCAATCTTTGCACCAGGAATGTTGGTGTACGTACGTGCCCTGTGCAGGAAGGTTCAACGACCCCTGAACCTAGGAGCTTCAACGACTGCCATTTTTTGCTGTTTTGCCCATCGAAATACCCACACATTGCCTCAACACTTTCCCACATTGCCTCAACACTTTCCCACATGCCAGCCCAAAGGAGAGACTTTTCCGGCCAATCTGCAGTGATGATGGCATGATGTTTTATATTACAGAACATCTCTTTAATGTAAAAAATGCCGCCGTCAGGAAACGATCCCCTCTACCCAACTGCCTGTTAATGCCTGTCAGTGACTGTGTCAAGAGGTTCCCACTTCTCAAATTGAAATTTGAAGCTTCAGGGACGTCCCGCAGCATTCTGTTGAGTGCCTGTGCAAATGCCTTCTCTTTGTTGCCCGCACCCCGCATTCGGACATGGTCGGACAGACAGGACGCCATTTTTTAATGTCCTTATGTTTTGGAAGGGCCTTCCAAGTTTTTCTTTCTCATGCAACGTCCCCAGCTTTTGAAGACAATTGGCCTCGTACTTTTTCTTCCCTGACGCAGTCACATCCATCTCATGCTCTTTGCAAGGCACCAACCCCGCATTGTCCAGGAACAGCTTGCACATACCCGGACAATAAATCACCGGACAACAGACCATCGAGTCACCCGGATTGTGGTCTATCAGGTATATACAATCAACTCACCAATCCTCTTTTTCCATTGCAGAACCCGGTCAACGTCGCATCCCTGCCTGTCTTCCACTACCTTATTGCTATTGAAACATCCACCGACAAGCTCATGTTCGAAAGCATTGATAGGGAAGAGACCTTGTCAAAAAATAACGATAGAACGATGCGGATCGAACTCCTAGCATAGGCACTGGGAGATGGAAATGGAATATTATTACGTGCATTTTTATTGAAACCCGGGACGCATATATGTCAATTGACCCGCGATTCAACCGGACATCCATCTGTTATATACCCGATTGAACTTCAATCCACAACGAATTCTCACGTTCCCATACACGCATGCGATTGCAGAGTAGACTCGAAGGAGGTAAATGCGCACACAAAACCGCAGAGAAGATATGCACAGCGGAAGCTCAAACAAAATACAGAGAAAAGTTAGAGAACTGAAAAAACGAATTTCAATTCTGCAATCCCTCGTCCTGCTCCAATCGATCCAGAAGAGTACTTGTTCCAAGAATCACAACTGCGCGTTTGCAACAACCCCGAACAACCAGAAACAAGTGTTCAACGACGTCAGTCTGCAGGAGTCTTCTTCTTCCTCCTCGCCACCACCTCATACCCCCCCCTGGCTATGGCTGCGGTAGCTGCAGCAACCCCTGCCCACAGCTGTCACAACGTGCCAATCTGAACCAGCAACCCTAATGATAACAGCGCCAGCTCAGCACCCGCACGGAAATGCAGCGGTGGCAGTCCTGATGAAGAAGGAGACCATCGATCCAGCACTTGGAAGAAGACAAAGTTCCTAAAGAAGAGGAACAACAGATATGGCTGCCAAGTGGAAGATGGCAGCACCCAAATCCAACAACACAGTCCTGTGGAAGCTCTCATGCAGAGCTGCGAAATGGCAGCAGTGCGATCTTCAACTTTGTTTCCCAACCCCAGCTATGGCTGGGCTTCTCGAGGAAGAAGATGACCTCGCCCAAATTAGAGCGCAGCGACACTCCAGCAACGGACAGGCAGAGTTTCCCCAGCCAACGAAAACGTGAAAAGACCCCAACCAAACCAAATTTCCTGTCCGCTACTTCTACCCTCTGCCTAGACATACAATGGACTCCAACAAAGGCAACAACCCAATACTCGTCTGCATCTAGATGGAAACAGGGGGAAAAAAAGGGACCAGGACCTATTATGACAAGGCAAAAGGAAAAGGCCTAATGGCCTAGGACTAGTAGTGACAGACTCAGGGATAAAGTCCCATAGGGCTCAACACTCACAAACAAAACACACAGGTTACATACAGGTCACGGAATCAAGTCCCGCTGGACTCGAAACAAGACAAGAAACTACAAAGCCGAAGACTTTGTGTACAGTCCCACTGGAAAACTGCGATTTATTGCATTCTTACCCTCCAAGGGTGTGAGGACCCACGAGCTACATAACCAACTACCAGCCCATATCGGTGGAGAGGTATAGAGGATCGCTAAACGTCCATAGCGATGGAGAACACAAAGACCTCAGAATCATGGTGAGATTATCAGATTTATTAACATGGGCCCTGTGTAAGGATGACAGGAATAAATCGAGAAATGGCCCAAAAAAAAAAAAAAAAAAAAAAAAAAAAAGCCAGGCAATCAACTTCTAGGCAACCAATCAGCTTCAGAAAATCTACAGGTT